GTCTTCTAAAATAAATTATTATTTGTTATTTTTTTTTTATTTTTTTTTGTTTTTTTTATTTTTTTTTGTTTTTTTTTATTTTTTTTGTTTTTTTTATTTTATTTTGTTTTTTTTTATTTTTTTTTATACATACTTTTTTAATTGAATGAATTGTTTTTCAACTTCATATAATTCTTCTTCAATTTCTTCGATACTTCTTGTTTGTTAAGTTGGTTGTGTAGTTATTTTAGTTGTTTCAGTTAGAGAAGTCATTTTTTTATTTTTTTTTGTTAATTTTTTTCTTTATATTAAATTATTTGATCATACTTTTAATCAATATAAGAAAGTTTATGAAATATATGTTATTAAATTTTTATGATATTATAAAAATTTAATAATATATGTTTCGTAAAAAAAAATAAAAAAAAAATAAAAAAATAAAATTTTTGAAAATTTTCTATGAAACGTCATAAAATTTCAATCACATGATAATAAAAAAGAAATTTTGATAATAAAACAGCAGTATATAGATAGTAGGTTTCTACTGACATCATGGCCCACCGAAGCATCTGGATCTGGCAGCCTACCTGTCTACTCACAGATTCAAATATATAATCTGCAATGTCATAATACCTTATCCACTTTTACTACAGATACTGGTATATCTAATTTTTTTTTAGTAAGCTTTTTGAAGATCATTTTATTACTATTAATTTGTTGTGTTTTTTTTATTTTATTTTTTTTTTTCTTTAATTTTTTTTTAAAATGTCTCACAATTATAAAAATAGCAATCTTAAACATACTATCAAATGTCAAATAAAAAAATTTGAAATTATTACAATTTTAGATAATGAAGAAATAACTGAATATCTATATGAAATCTTAAGCGTTGGTTTTACAGAAGAAGAAAGATTTTGAAAAGAAAATAAAAAATTATTAAAAGAATTAGAAACCTTACAAAAAAAAAATAGACAAAGCTGAACAAGAACAAGAAGAAGAAACAAAGAAATATTTAATAGAAGAAAGAGGAAAATTAGCAAAAAAAATAAATATATTAAGAACAATTTGTAGTAATAAAGGATATAATATTAATTAATTTTTTTTTATTCATGTATTATTTTTATTATTTTATTATATTTTAAAATAAATTTTACGAAAAGTGGGCAATTTAGTTCTTTTAGTAATGTTGATCAAATTAATCTGTACATAAATACAATTATAAATCAACAAACATGGTTTAGTTTTATTGTAGTTATAAAAACCAAAAATGTTTAATTATAAAAATACGCTAATCAAATTAATGTTTCACATTATAAAATTTAAAATACTTTTTAATTATCAATATATATTTGTTGATCAAATTTATTTAAAATTACCAAAATTATAAAATTATTTACATATTAAAAATAAAATTAATTATATATACAAATTTAATATAAATATTACACCTAAACTAAACTAAATTAATATGATAAATATTCGTTATAATATTCCTCTAAATCAATAAAAGACCAAAAATACTTGATTCCAAACTTCTCACATTCTAAATTTACTTTGTAAAAAAATACCTCAAAGTCATTCTCATAACTTTGCTTTCGATATTCCATTAAATCTAAAATATTATAACGAATAAAATAATTATACCCTTCATTAAATAAATTAAAATAACTTCTCATATGTGCTTCGAGAAATTCGAGGATACTTTTTAATCGTTGGTTATTAGAATTATCAGTGTATCCTGAACTGATAATTTTTTCTTTTAATAAGTAGTCTTTAAATTTTTTATAACTAGTAAATATTTTATATTCACTAGTTTCGATATAATCTTCAATAATATCTTGATTTTCTTCTTCGTTGGTTAGTAATGCGGATTCAAAAGTTTTTTCGTTATCGACAAATAAACAAGTAGATTGGGAATCATCCCAACCCCAAAAATTGTCTGGTTCATCGTAAACTACTTTTTTTTAAAAAAAAAATCAAAAATTCTTTTTATTTTTGATTTCTTATTAACTAAAGTAGTTTCATTACTAATAGTTTTACGTTTATTTCCTTTTATAATAAGTTTTTTTAAAAAAGACATTTTAAGTAATTGTTAATTGTGTTTTAAATAATTTGAAAAAGATAAAAAATCTGTTTCTATTTATAATTTATTGTTAAGTATACATTTTTTTAGTTTTTGTCAAATGAATATTTTTCTTTATAATAATAATTTTTTTTTTTAGTTTTCTTTTATCAAAGACTTAGACCTCTGGATTATACTAAAAATTTATTATTTTTTTTAATCCCATATGATTATTTTTTTCTATGAATATAGTAATTATTATTTAGAAAAAAAAGAATATATATTTGTATTTAAAGTAATTTTAAAATAATTGGTTCTAAAAAAAATATATAAATAAAATATGCTTATTTATTTTTTTAAAAAAAAAAGATGATTCCAAAAATCGATCAAATAAATAATATTCTTTTTAATGAATATAATTGCATAAATTATTTATTCGATAAAAATTTAATAAATCAAAAAACTACTTGTAATATTTGTAATAGTAATTTATATGTATATCAAAAAACATTTAGATGTATTAACAAAGACTGTAGAAAATCTGTTTCTATTTACAAAGATTCTTTATTTTCTAAAAATCATATTCTTTGTAATGATATCATTTTATTGGCCTATTTTTGGATAGCTAAACTTCGTTTTACAAATATTACAACTATTACAAAATATTGTAAAGAAACAATTTGTAATTATACTAAATTTTTTCGAGAATTAGTTATTGAATCATTAAATAGAAATGATAAAATACTAGGAGGGGTTAATGTAATTGTTAAAATAGATGAATCAAAATTTAGTGATTTTTGGGTTGTAGGAATTACTGAAAGAACCAGAAATAAGAAATGTTATTTTGAAGTTGTTAATAATCGTAATTATTCATCTCTTTTTAAATTTATTAAAAGACATATAAAACCTGGTTCTACAGTATATAGTGATTGTTGAAAAGGTTATAATAATCTTGATAAATTAAATATTAAATATATTCGAATTAATCATTCAAAACAAGTATCTCAATATCAAAAGCTTAAAAGAATTCATACAAATACAATAGAAGATATCTGGAATGCTTTAAAATTATCAATTCCAAAAGATAAAAGAAGAATTGGAATTATTAAACTATATCTTAAAGAATATAGTTGGAGATGTAAACACAAACAAAATCTCTGGGAAGTATTTCTCACTTGTTTAAAAAAATAAACTTTTATTTATAATTATATTTTAAAATTACAATAATAATAGAAAATAAAAACAAAAAAAAAATAGTTATCGATTTAAAATATTTTTAAGTAATAAATAGTTTTTTTGTTCTTTTTTTGTTGAACTTCTCTTTTTAATTTTAGTAAAGGTAATACATTCAATATTACATTTTTTATATTCAGAATATGGTCTTTCTTCATCACATTTTAATTTTTTTATTTGACAATTTTGACATGCTAATAAAATGTATTTTCTCTGTTTTGTAATAAATTTCTTTTCAACAAGATCTTGCATCTTATGATGTTTACAAGATTTTTTCTTTAATTGATATATAGTTGAATTTTGTTTTATTTATATAGATTTTATATAAATGGTTCAAGTTTATATATTTTATTATTTATTAATATATTATAAATTTCTTTAACTAATATACATTAAAACTAAACATATTAATTTTTTAATATTAAAAAATTAATATACAAGTCACCACAAAGGCTGATTAAATTACAATATTTACAATATAAACTATTTTACTATATAGATTCTTAATTGTCTGCTTTCTCAATTCTCTATCTAATCATCCTAATAGCATGCTATTCTTGTGAATTTCTTTTTTTCTTCATCTGTTCTTCATAAAAAATTTTTTTTTGAATAACGAGGAAGTTTTTCTCGTCAAATATATAGAAATGTTTGTTTCTTCTTTAATTTGAAGAAATATAAAATAAGATGTCAATTAAATTGACATAAAAATAAAAAAATGAAGTGTTCGAATATTCAAACACTTTGTTCAATCTCATTTAAGAGATAAATCATTCTGGAGAATGTTCAATTAGAGTATTCCAGAACCAAAAAGAATATAGTGAATTTATTATAATTAAAGTTATTATATATAATAAATATGGAAATAAAAAAAAAAGAATCTGAATAATAAAGTTTTTGAATAATATAGTAAGTATCATTTTGATATTCACCAGCAAAAAAATGTGTAAGGAATAGTTCTAAAAGAACCATAAATGCAAGAGTAATAAAAAAGATTTTATTGAACATTTTAAAATAATTTTTTTAATAAGTAAAGATAAATTTTTATTTGGATAAATTTTTTATTTTTAATAAACAAATTTTTAAGTAATAAACACAATGATTACGAAGAAAATTCTATGTTCTTTTATCTTTATTTTAATAATATAAAATTATAAAGTACTCAATTTATTCTAAATTAGTATAAATAATAAATTACTTGCATACTATTAATTTATCCTATTTAGTAATTTTATAGTATGCAGTTATACAACATAATATAATTTATAAATACTATCAATACTTTTTAAGAAAAGGATAAAAGGTCTTTTTTTTATTTTGTCTACGGAAATTGAATTGTCGAACTGGAGTTTGTGTAACTATATTTGAAGATTCTAAACTAATATTTTATATATTTTGTGAAACTCTAAGAATTTCATCAATCTGTTGATTGGTAGTTAAAATTGTTGTACTCTGAATTTCTAAATTATTAAAAATCTCCTGAATTCTTGTATCTCCTGTTCCCATTCCTGTTTCTGTTTTTGCTCCTGTACCAACAGTTCCCATTCCTGTTCCTGTACTAATAGTTTCTGTTTCTGTTTTTGTTCCTGCTGTCCCAATATTAATATTTTGATCTAATATTCCTAATAAAGTAATAAAAGATCTATTTAAAAGTTTATTATAATGACGTTCCCATATCCAAAAAGGTGTATTATAAATAGTTGGAGATGAATCTATTGCTATTCTATAATCTCTATTACCTGAACTAAGTACTCTAACATTAATTCTAAGATTTTTAAATCTAATTGAATTATTAGAAATTGGAGCCCGGTTATTATTTGTTATAATATGATTATTTAATACATGTAAAAATAAAATAAATTTAGTTTTTTTAAATTCTAATCGAGACCAAAACCAAAGTTCATTAATAATTTGAGTATTATTATTTATTGTTTGTATACCAATAATAAAATAATGAGTAGAGTGACTACTAAGACTAACACGAATACCAAGATTTATAAAATCAACTGATATTTTTTTTTTTTTTTTTAAGATTTAACCTTTATTTATATGTTTTAAAATAATTAAAAAAAATAATATAATAAAATAAAAAATATTTAATAAAAAAAAATAATTAAAAAGTATCAAAATTATCTAAATCTCTTGGTATTGTACCAATATTTTGAATGTCAACAGTTACAGTAGTAATCATATTAAGTAAATTATCAACTGTTAATTGTGATAATTGTTGACCTTGAGGTGGGTTAATACCCAAATTATTAAAAATTGTTACAATCTTATCTCTGTTATTATTTGCTGATATTGAAGAAAATGTTAAAGTTGCTACTTGTCTTCGTAAATCAGCTATTAATTCATTAATACAATTTACTTGTATTGATGTAGAAGTAGTTGTAGTAACAGGTAGTATTGTGGTAGTAGATATTTTTTTTTTGGTTTTATTTTTTTTTTATGGATATTAAAGTTATTTATATTTTTTATGATTGAGATAGTTGATATAATATCTTCATTTCATCTAAAATAATCTTTAAATTTTCTTTATCACTTTTGTTTACATCATATTCAATTTGAAGATTTTTTAAAATATCACCTATTATATTTTTAAAATTATTTTCTTCTCTATTTTCTATTGAAAATTTAAAATTTTACTTTGTTGTTCTTCAATTGTAATATTTATATTATAATTAATACTAAAATTATCTATTATTCTAGTATTTGTATCTCTAATCCTAGCTAATCTTTGATTTAAATTATTACTTGTATTATTACTATTAACTAAAAGATTTATTATACGATTAACTTGTAAAGATATTGAATTCATAGTTAATAGAAGTTGATGCTCTTGACCTTGGTATTGATAATATTTCAATTAATTTATGAACTAGAGAATATCGTATTTGTCTATTTTTTCCAATTCTCTCAACATAAAGACCCCCTTTATATTGATTTGTAACCTTTCTATTTTTATTTAATACATCTTGATATTTTTCTGCTCTTCAAGTTACTAATTTATCAATTACAGTATCTGGTAGTGCCTGGACAAGTGTTTTAGCAAAACGTGGACCCTTTGGTCTTGGTACAACTACTTTTAGACTTTTACTTCTTCTTATTCTCAGTCTTCTAACTTTTTTTGGCTGCTTAATTCTACCAATTCTTCTTTTTGTTCTTGCAGCACATGAATTACTTGTAATGAAAATTAAATATATTATCAACAAAATAATAAAAGATTTTATAATTTGTAGCTGCATTTTTGAATATATTTTTTTTGCAGTCTTTCACTTTTAATGTATTTTGTTACTCTTGTTTTTTCACTAATTGATAATAATATTACCAAAAGAAAACAAAAAAATAAAATCGCATTTTTAACTATTAAACTCAATATATAGAACTCAACTATTTATACAAAAAATATAAATAGAACCATTAAGAATTTTTTTTTTGTTTTTTTATGGATAAATCAAACCTCTATGATTTTCTATTCATAATAATTTTATTAGAAATTATCATTGTTTTATCTATAATAATCTTTGGCGTTGCACATTTCTATAAAGAAATTTTTGAATTCATTTCAATCTCAGGTCTCAAATAAATTTTATCAACTGTAATCACAAAAGCTATTACTTTTTTTATTCAATTTGTTGAACAATATCAATAAAAGTGGCTCCAACTAAACGAAGAAGAAAAACAGTTACTAAACCTAGTAATAAAAAAAAAACAACTAAAAAAATAACAGCTAAATCAACAATAAAAAAAACAAAATCTAGAAAAAAGATAATATCCAAAACAACAAAAACATCCAAAACAATAAAAACAACAACACCAACAATAGTAAAAAAAAATAATATAGAAAAAATAAAAATTGTAATAATAGTTGCAGGTGTTGCTATACAAACAAACCAGGACCCTGTAGTTCAAGTTGTACTTGTTGTTTTTCTGCTACAAACAAAAATATATACACAATAGGATTAATAGAATAAATAGCTAGACCACAAGTAAATTTTTGTATACCAATAGGTGAACAATTAACAGAACTAGAAAAAACTTGTGGAGTAAAAGATTATTCAGCTGAACAAGTAAAATATAATTCATTAATTCAAAGAAGAAGAGCCAATCTTACAAGACCTGCTACTACTGCAGATGGAAATAATACTTTACTTAGATGGCCTCAACTTTATTATGCTTCTATTTTATTATTTCAAGATATAAATTTCAATATGAATACAGGAAATAAACTCATGTTAGATTTCTATCAAATCCTACGTATAAATATCTTTGGTCATGGAAATAATACATTAGATTCTCTTCAAGCTGATAGTACTGAACAAGGACTTTCAAAATATCGATTTCTATGAGCTCAAGCACAGAGAGATGTAGATGCTGATGATACATATACAATCAATCCAATTAGAAAAAATTTTCATGTTAGAGCAATAATTCTTCAAGTGGAAACTAGTTGTGAATTATCTATCAGTCAAGCATAAGTACCAAATAATAGTTATTTACTAGCAGAAAATATATTCAAAGATCTTAATAATTTAATTAATAGTCCAATCAAATAAAATTATAATGTTGTATATAATAAAATTGAAACAGTAGAATGTTCAAAATGTGACTATGAAAAAATATTTTGTTTTACATAGAGAATTGAAAAACAATAGTGCATTACTCGTATATCTAATGTAGATAGAAATGCATTTGTTTAATTTAATACTAGATTCTTTTGGTTCATAACTGCATTAGATATTAATGAATCATTAAGGCATTTAAAATATATAACTGATCAAGATGAAGGATCTAGATATAATCTTGGTACCACTTTTGCATCAGGACAAAAAGAAGGATTTTTAAGAGAACCCTGTAGAACTGTATTAAAATTAAATCAATCATATAGATGGATTGATCTTAATTAAAATTCTGCTTTAGCTATTACAAGATTGGGAGCTCAAATTGAAGATTTAAAATGAAAACTTGATGAGCAAGATGATAAATGTGCAAAAAAAAAACAAATATTTTAGTTTTGATGATTGTTGTTTTTTTTTATTATTTAATAATAATATTTAGAAAAAATACAGATAAACCAAATTCAACACCAATTCTTCTACCCGAAGATGATGATAATAAACAACCTCTAACAACAATTAATACTCCAACTACAACTATTAATCTACTACCCACAACAACAATTAATACTCCAACTACAACTATTAATCTACCACCCACAATAACAATTAATACACTTCCATCAAGACCAACTAATTTTCCAAAAATTATAACAACTGAAACATCTACAACAACTACAAATAAACCAACAA